AATAAATATCGAATTCTTTGTTGCAGTGTCTTTAACGAACCTGCTTTGTTCTTGTCATATTTCCGGTCTAATTCCACTGTGCACTCTAGTCATCAGAATTTGGATGATAAGTTTTCTTATATGGCTCATTAGGTTGATTGTCAAATGGAATTCACTTTCGATCGGACCATTAGCTATTAAATACTGTTATTATTAGCGTACAATTTATATATTTCATATATAGATGTATAGAGGCACACACACACACATGCATTATACATACACACATACATATATATATATAAAGAAATATAGTTTTAAGGTGTGCTCAATATTAGAGATAGAGCGTATGTAAATATAAAAGTGAACATTGGAGTCAGCGCTCAGAGGCGACAGGCTGTTTCATGCTAGACGCAATCACCAGGCCGCCTGACGATTGCATCTAGCATGAAACAGCCTGTCGCGTCTGGCCTCTGAGTGTTGACTTCAATGTTCACTTTTATTATATATATATATATATATATATATATATATATATATATATATAATTATTTATTCGAAAATTATAACATAAATATGTTATAAAATCGCTACAAAATAGCCATTTTGTTTCAACACCGCTGGTGTCTTATCAAGTGATGGTGTTGAATATAGAATAAAGGGTTTTAAAAGGTTTAAATCAATCAAAAACCCCTCGCTAGGGGAAACACTGTTACATAAGCTGGAATGGCCTATCAAAATACAAGTATACGAGAATACACCAGTCCTATACGTGTGTATATATATATATATATATATATATATATATATATATATAAATATACTTCTAAGGTGTGCTGTATTTATGGGATAAAGTGCTCAAAATCAGAGACAGACCGTATGTAAATATGAAAGTGAACATTGAAGTCACCACTCAGAGGCGACAGGCTCGACGCAATCGTCTGGCCGCCGATTGCGTCGAGCATGAAACAGTCTGGCGAATCCGAGTCTTCAATGTTCACTTATATATACATACATACACGCGGTATGATGAACTAATGGATAGCGGAGAGTGGAGTTGGAATTCCAGTGGAATCCATTGCATTCACTTACGTGCCTTTGGAAAGATATTAATCCTCTCCTTCTTCCACCAGCTATGGTATCTAACAGGGTATCCTTGGGTGGTAACCCATCTAGGAGAAGACAAACCTGCGGAGGGTTGTTTGGGAACCTTGTGGCAAGTTATGCTATGCATCGGGTTCTCTCTATTCGGCTCTTCCAAAAACTGTTTTTGTTTCTATCCAAACCTTCTCCCCTATATTCATTTGATTTGTGCGCGAGTCTGGCTGTCGGGTTTTTTTTTTTTTAGTAACTGATTTGCTTGACGCCGAAATCGACAGGAGAATCCTGTATAGATATACGTAGATACACCTTTCGAGACTTGTGCAACATTGAACAAACTATAGAAAATCTTTAAACTTATTGACGTTGTAGCTAAATAATACCATTTAAAATTTAACATGCTTGAAACAAGAAACGGTGTTTTACGGCAAACATATATCGGTCACTCAAGACCATTTAAAATGCCTTACAGGCTTGAAACACGAAACGGTGTTTTACGGCAAATATATATCGGTCAGTCAATACCATTTAAAATGCCTAACAGGCTTGAAACATGAAACAGCTGTTTTACAGCAAACATATATCAGTCAGACAATACCATTTAAATTGCCTAACAGGCTTGAAACATGAAACAGCTGTTTTACAGCAAACATATATCAGTCACTCAAGACCATTTAAAATGCCTAACAAGCTTGAAACATGAAACAGCTGTTTTACAGCAAACATATATCAGTCAGTCAAGACCATTTAAAATGCCTAACAGGCTTGAAACATAAAACGGTGTTTTACGGCAAACATATATCGGTCAGTCATACGTGATGCACGCTTAGATGATCATATTTCTTTCGATTCATGACTGACTAAGCGGAAGATTTTCCCGCAGTAGGTTGCCGTTTCTTTCTGCAGTAGACTGGTTGCCAATCAAGGCTATAATCAGTCCTTCTAGGTAACACATAACTGGGAGGGGAAGAAGAGATGGCTTCATACCTGTCCCAAGGGTATTTGCACGCAAGTGAAAGCAACGAATCCGACTGGAATTCGATCTCCGCTTTCTGATTTCTCGTTGCAAACCGTTATTCATTACACCACATCACACATATGTACTTTAATCAACAGACCTATTGGATATAGATATATTCTTAAGAAATTAATGGATTTTATTAATAATCAAACATGATTTGCTATAACAGTAAATATTAGATTTAGTAGCTACAGGTTTTGAATAGACATTCCTGTTTTTAAACACTGTAATTCAACGTCTACCGGCCTGTGCATTCGAGAGACTTAATAAAGCAAATATGCCTTTCGATAGTATTCGAACCTGTATTCCCCTTTCATATTTTCTTTATTATGACTCACGATTCCCCAGGCCGGTAGACGTTGATTATTATCCACTAAGTGGGTTGTATAAATGTTAGTAAAATGCAGTTGCATGTGCTATAATTTGAATTATTTCGAAAAACGAACAGAAACGATATGTCTCATCCAACAAAGCTCGTGACGCCGAAATGGAAATGAATTGTAAGAAAAAAAAACGATAATCTTGTTAACTATAATTCAAGTTGACTCACCTCTGAATTGGTAATAATAGTTTTTTTTTAAATAGACAAATAAGAAAGTCATTTTCAGAAATCCGAACACAATATAACTAACAGGAAAGCAGCAAGAAAAAGAAAAAAATATATATTAAACGCACTGAATTCACAATTCTCTATGGACCACGTCAGACTGGGCTTATACACAATATCACCGATCCTCAACACAAAAACAATAACACAATGCGGTATACGAACTAATACAGAGAAAAAACTTCCCACCATTAAGGTTATATATCACCCCTTTCTCAAAAAAAAAGAAAGAAAGAAAGAAAGGAAAATTCTGACCATATCATTATTTATCGCTCTTTCCTCAAAAATTCCAATACACTTTCCTTACACTTAGAGTTTGTTTGGCATTCTAACATAACGACATATATTCACACACACACACACACACACACACACACATATATATATATATATATATATATATATATATATATATATATATATATATATATATGCATGAGCGCGTGTGTGTATGCGTGTGTATTTACATGAAGACAAACAAATCAGGTGTACACTTTAAAAGAATTGCTTTCTTTTCTTCACTTTTTAAAAGAATAAAGAAAAGCGACCGAGGAACTGACATTATTTGCCCCCTCATTATTGTTGGCTGGGATGAATCTTCAAATAAGGCTGATAAATTCTTTTCTATTCTCAACTTCTTTTGTTTGTCACCTGATAAGTAACACAAAGAAGAAAATATATGACATCGATTTATGCTTAGAAGAAAAGTAATGATAATATTGAATTTAAAAATAGGCCTTATCTTCTCTCGACATTGCAGAATATCTCCAAACTGACAAACAATAGAAGAAAATGCATTGTAAATTGCACTGATTTCACAATTCTCTATGGTCCACCTCAGACCGGACTCATACACAATATCACCAATCATTAAAAATGCAATAGTTGCACAATGTGGTATACAGACTAACAGAGAGAAAAAAAGAACTTTCCAGTATTAAGGTTATTTATTACCTCTTTCTCAAAAATTCCAACGTTTTATCGTTCAAAATAGATAGTCCTGTTCTAGCAGTTTCTTTGCTTGCACTTCTCACCTGCGCAACTATCTTCTGGTTTCTTCCTTCCTTTAAATGCAACGTCAGTCGCCATTTTCTATTTTCCTGAATTCATGTCCTTTTATTGTCCTTTCTCTTCAGTAAAGTTTTATAATTCTCTTCAACTCCAAGCAACCCCTTGCGTCTTAGTGGCATTGCCACCTTACTTGGTGCGAAAGAGAGTTTCTACAGAATAAAGGAATATATATATATATATATATATATATATATATATATATATATATATATAGTTAAGTAACGAAAACCTTGGTAATTCCTATGGATAACCCCAAGGACGATGAAATCCAGGAGAGCTCAATGTTAAGTCAGAGCGAATAATTATTTAATTTAAAGAAAAAACTGACCACTTTAAGGCTCCATTAATTATAATTTATTTCACCAGAGAATTTTATTTTTCTCTGTATCTTCAGACTTCACTTCAAAGGTGAAACGAATATATATATATATATATATATATATATATATATATATATATATATATATATATATATATATATAAAAGAAGAGAAATAAATTAAATTAGCTCATCATATCTGTTGTGGTGTCTTCCCTCTAATGAGTTTATTGTGAACTCTTCCACTTACTGTGAAAGTAAGCCTCGAGGGAACAGTTATATAGACTGAACGCTGGTCAACCGACACATACTCCCAAGTCGTGTAATACTCTTCTATTGTACTTGCTGTTTAATACACGATTTATCTGCAACCTTTTGTTTTGTTATTTCTTAACCATTTACTTGGTCACAACAATATCAGACGACTAGAGACCAAAAATATTTTTTTTAAATTTCATATTATCTATTGGCGTCAGTTGGATTTCTAAACTAGACTACACCAAATAGATCTTTGTTTTTTCTCTATTATCCTGTATATGGAATTGTGTTATAACTGCTTTTGCGATGATCTGTGATATTATATATGAGCCTGGTCTTAGGTTTATCGTAAGAAATTGTGAGATCGGCGCGCTCTCAATGCATTTTCTTCTCAGGGAATCCTGAAGTGCCGGTTGAATATGTGGAAAAGAAGATAAAGGAATTAATCGGAGCGTCAGTCCTCAAATTGCACAGACGAATGAAACTGATGATTATGTTCACAATATTTATATTGATAAACACTCTATTCCCGATACTGTGCAAAAATCCGATGGTGAGATAAGAACCCGCTCCTCAGGATAGTATAATGAACGTTCTAATCACTCGGCCACAAATCAACATGGCACGACAGTTTCACTCCGCACGTTAAGAAATAGTCACGTTACTCGTTAATTCGTACACATCCACAGAGTGAAAGAGAGAGAGAGAGAGGGAGAGAGAGAGAGAGAGAGAGAGAAAGAGAGAGAGAGAGATCTCACATTAATCAATTTCACAGTGAGAGTTATTTATCCCACATATAGCCATGTTATTTATTCCACGAGCAGTCATATGTCATTTATATCACATGTAGCTATGTTATTCATCCCACATCTAGCTATGTTATGTATCTCACATGTAGCTATATGTTTATCCCACATGTAGACACATGTCATTTGCCGCATATGCAACTATTTGTCTTGTATCCCAGATGTCGCTATATGCTATTTATTCCACATGCAACCATGTGTTATTTATGCCACATGTAGCCATAATAGGACTCTTGAGAATCTAGAAAGTTATGAAATTTCTAATTCCGCACCCAGTAACAAAAGGTAGAACTGTGAGGAACGAGAAGAGTTACCTCCCGCAAAGCGAATTTGCTTGGCGTGCCAGGTCCTGTTGAAAGATCGCGACAGGCATTGAAAGAGAAATGGATTATTCCGAAATTCCTATATCGCGAGCAGACATACAAAGGAAAAAATAAAAAAATAGACTAAGTATTCAAACCAGCTTGAATTTATAAAACCGGAAGTCTCGGGAGAACAAGAAGTAAGTCTCGTATGCAAATGTTAATTGCCCCCGACGCGAGCATAAATAGCGAGTCTGGGAGGAAGACGTGAAAACGCATTGTTGGCGTGACGGGCGTACGTACTAAAGAGACTGAGAGAATAAGAAGTCACTAGCAACAGCTCAGTTGGTAGACCGGAGGACTAGACGAAAACAAGCATTTTAATCTATTTCAATCATCGCAAACGACGGGAAAATTGAATTACCCACAAGAACAAAATGTCTCTTTTGTACGGAACTGGTCATAAGCGCCTTTAAAAGCAGGCATCCTGATACATGTTTAAGAGCAATGGTAAGATACGGTTTCTCCTGAAACATATTCACGGGCCTGTTGGCCAAAGTTTAGGAACGGCAGCACCAGAAGCACCTCCTTGTTGCAGTTTCTTTGAGAACATTCGAAAGATTCAAGTTGCAAAATCCAGGACAGAATGATATAAATTTTGAAGTTTTCTTGTCACACTTTTTGTCATCGTCTTGTTGAAGGCTGTGGAAATTGTTCAAAACGCTCGATCTTTAAGCGATTCATCCCCAGGTAAGAGAAGACTGCCAGCATCCTTAAAGAAAAACACTTTCAGACACTTGACACATATTGAAAGTAAAGCGCATATTAATAAACAACATATCTCTGCCGAAATTCGAACTTGACCGATTTTGTGTTCCTTATAAATAAAATTCTCACTTATCTCACGTGTAGATAAAAGTAATTTGTGTATTATATTTTTGTATCGTCAAAATTGAGGATTCATCGTTCATTAATTCATTTCGTTTTTGCTTTTTGTTTTTGAGAGAGGAACGCGTTTAATAGAAACTGAAAGTGAAAGTAAATAGGTTGAAATATAGACGGGAAATGTACGTTTTGCTGCCGGTACGAAGCAAAAGATATTAACATGTAGGCATCAATTTGAATTAGAGAATCGTCTCAGCGCTGCGAGGACTTTTCTATTTTTCTCTGTAAATTATCGAGAGTTAAATTCCTTTTTGAAATATTTTACCAATTTTTGTTCTTTGTTTTCGTTAAAATTTGAGATGTTTTTCAACGTCACGTTTTGATAATTTGGGAGGAAATCGACTCGGAATTGTTGGGATTGGAGGGCGGGGAGAAAAGGGGGAAGGGGGTGTAGGAAGTGGAAGATTTGAGTGGAAAATGAAGGTAAGGTGAAGATGTAAGAGCAGTGAGAAGAAAGAAAGAAAAAAGCAAGAAACAAAAGCAAGAAAGGCAAACAAGAAAGAAAGAAAGAAAGAAAGAAAGAAAGAAAGAAAGAAAAACAAGAAAGCCAAACAAGAAAAAAATAAATAAATAAAGAAGAACGATAGAAAAACAAGAAAGCCAAACAAGAAAGAAAGAAAGAAAGAAATACGAAAGAAAGAAAGAAAGAAAGAAGAACGATAGAAAAACAAGAAAGCCAAACAAGAAAGAAAGAAATACGAAAGAAAGAAAGAAAGAAGAACGATAGAAAAACAAGAAAGCCAAGCAAGAAAGAAAGAAAGAAAGAAAGAAAGAAAGAAGAACGATAGAAAAACAAGAAAGCCAAAACAAGAAAAAATGAAAAAAGAAAGAAAGAGAGAAAGAACGATACAAAAGAAAGAAAATAGGAAAAATAGAAAAGTAAGCAAAAAAGTCAAACAAGAAAGAAAAAAGAGATCCAAACAAGAAAGAAAGCAAGAACGATAGAAAAGAAAGAAAGAAAGAAAGAAAGAAAGAGAGCAAGAAAATAATAAAGAAATTAAAAGAATCAGGAAAAGGAAAGCAAG